TCTTATTGTAATTCGTAAATTATATTTTGCATGGATCATAAAACAACACCGACCATTACTACTATAAGAACAATTTTATTATAAAACTTATTTTATATATTTGATGAAAATATTATGTATTTTTAGTTAAACAATAAAAAAAAAAACACGACGATTCGAGTTTGACGTGTACGTTTAGGTTAATAGGTACATTTTATAGATTGTTGAATAATTATTGTTTTGGTGATATTATATTATGTATAGGTATGGTGTATCCGGTTTTACTAAAATGCAGTCTGTAATAAATATTAATATTTGGTGAACGATTTGAAAACGACGTTACGTGTGTTTCACAATGAAATAACAATTTATATTTATATTTATTAAGAAATACAACACAATACGTGCCGCCGTATTTTATTGGCGTATTAAATTAAATTTGATTTGACATTTATCAGAAAGTGTAACCTTCGAATGAAAATGCTGATGTTTCAACAATTTATGCGGTAAAATAACCGATAAAAAAAAAACACGTGTCACATTGATATATTAATAAACATATAAAATATATGATTTTTATGTTCGATTTAATATACTTTTACTTTTAAAAAATAATAATTTTTTGAGTAGTCGTAAAAGCATATGATTTAAACGAACAAATGTAGACGAGTTTTAATAATAAACGTTTGAAGTGCCTATATCTATATAATATGTTTTTAAAAATAATATTGTTGAAATCACAATAGCTCTTTATGATGATAAGGTATTCTTTAATCATGTAAAATTAAAGAATACTTATTAATTGTATTTCTAGTGCTACATACAATAATTTGTAACAATATGTAACACTATTACATGACAATAATGTCACAAAAGTAAACTATATTATGTATTATATAGGTAGGTACAGTAAATATAAAATCGTTTGTTTTTACCTATAGTTTAATGATTTGTGGTTAATTATTGTTCATTAATCATTATTTAAATTTTTCGTTATTATTTTTACTTTCCATAGATATAACCTCAAGTCATACTGAGTATTTATGCATAAGACGTTATTATTAAAAAATCAATATATTCTATATATTAATTAGAAAAATAATTAGATAATAAAATTGCATATATTTTATGATTATAATTTTTTTTAGGTATTTTAATTATATATTTAATAAATAATTAAAAAGGCATTTTAATCTATATTTATTTGTACATAATTATAATACAATAATGTATCGTTACAATACGATAAACTAAAGTTGAATTTTATTATAATATGTATGTAATATGTACCTAAGTATGTTTATTGTATAAATAGTATGCATGAGATGATACATTTAACACAAGATACTATCAGAAGACGTGTGTAGCGCTAAATGAACTCCCGTGTATTATTGCTAAGTACATAATAAATATTGTCTTAGAACTTAGGCCTCTTAGCAAATAAAAGGAAAAATGTAGATTACTTTCGATTCATATAATGTGAACCATATTATAATGTACTAATAGGATAATTATATATTTTTAATTACTTTTAAAGAAAACATTTTTTTTTTTAATAATTTAAAGTTGTCATAAGTAATAACGTTATCCAAAAATTTTATTATTGTTTACCTTTTTAAATGCAGCATACATTTTCAATTTTTCAATCTAAAGAAAAATATTTTTAACATAATATTAAAAAATTCAATTTTACATTATTTTAATTTAATTGATGAAAATAATTGGTAATCGATATTCGTAAATTATAATTTATATAGATTAATTTTGTGTATAATCTCATCAGTATTCACTATTTTATAATTGGGTCGATACATATTTCATAGCGGTTATTCTAATTTTAATTTGTTTATTTTTTTATTTGTTCTGCAAATAAGAAATTGAACTGTACAATTATAAATAATTATAAACAGAAGAATACTTTCATTCCAAAAAAAAAATTTAGAACTAGTTATTTATTTTATTATTTAAGTAATTATATAAACTTTGGGTTTTTCTGTATATAGTTTTAAAAAAATACTTGTAAACATGGATGCATATTTATTAATTTTTAAGAGCTTCAATTTCTGAGTCTTAGTTATAAATTCAAGTTATAAATTATTGAATGCTCATCCAAAACTTGGTTTCTGTAAATTGCAATATTCCAAAAAATAGTCAGCTTGAAAAATTAAAAATGTATATGTCTGTTATTATTCAAAAAGTAAAAACTTCAACAATAGCTAAAAAATAACTTTTTAAAACATTTTAGTATTTAATAATGACTTTAAAAAGTATTTTTTTAAACGTTAATACTTTTTAAAATATTAAGTGTCCTTATATTATAAAAAAATCACTCTGTATAAAGTATTGTGTTTTTGTCGATGTATGTATCTATTCAAACATTTTTTTTTTTTGAATGCACCATTACAAAAGCATTAGAAAGTGAAGGTGTAATATAAAAATAAACATACGTGCAAAAAACGCTTAGTCTTTGAATACAAACGTTAAAAATTTCAAAACATTTTTGTTTTCGTCTAAATCTTTAACTGTTTTCATAATCAGCATTTAAAATATAAAATATCGTGCACTAAATGTGTCTAATGCCAATTATTATTTAGCTACAAGTCTACAACTGTACTACACCTACCGTGACATTATTATTCTTTATTATTTTTATTTGAAATTTATGAATTTTCTCATTTCTAAACTTCGGTACTCGACAGTCGACATAATTATTCATATACGAGTATATCATACAGGATGATTTTTTTAACTCTAATCACCATAATCAACTAAAAAAGTATTAACGTTTTTTATAATATTTTTTAACATTTAAAATTTTAACGATCAAAGTAATAGATTAACATTTTGTGGAGTACCATACCTCACTAACATCATCTAAAGTTTAAACATTCAGTACATTTACAAAAGATAGCTAATAAATAATAACTAATAATACAGAATTGTATAATAGGTTACAACACTTAATACTTGTAACTTATGAGCTAAAAATTAAAACTAATATTAACTACTTGTTTTAAATTTAATTTTTATTACTTTCAGAAAAATATTCCGCTTTGAATTATACCAATATAAAATATTTTATTATTCAAATAAGTTAAAATCTTAGATAATGATAATAATAAAAATCGTGAAAATATAGTTTTTAATTAAAAATAATAATTTTTGTATTAATCAATGTTTATTGTTAATAGGTATAATATCTAGAATAAACACATTACACACGTATGGCACGTATGGTTTCGTGGATGTTACTATAAATGGTGGTCATATATAATAATAAGATGGATTTACAAGGTGAAATCGATTAAAATCTTACTATATAGATACGATGGATACGAGTCTTATACCTTTATGTGCGTTACATTTGCCGTTAATAAATTGAACATAAAAACTATAAATCGAAATATTCCCAGACAATACCTACATATTTTTGAACGGAAAACGAGTATTTTATGTTTATTTAATGAATGACAGTTAGTAATTACCAACAGATATGTTTTTACATCATTAACAATATATTTGTACCAGATACCAACATTTAATTTTTAGTATGTAAGTATAATTAAGAATGACGACATATCATTTTACCAAACTTATCTGATGATAGTTATGGTATAAAATGTGCGCAGGCATACGTAGTTATGTATTAATAACTGTTCGGGGCTATATATGTACCTATTTGGTACAAAAATACGTAATCATCTAATATTTTTTGATTCTTTAGACATACATTATAATAACATATTTAATAGGTGTACAATCAGTACCTCAGGTTTCAGATTAATTAAATTTATAGATTATATCGTATCTTGTTAGTTGAAATAATTTGACATAATTTTTTCCATGTTTCTATGCTTAATCTAGATATTAAATCGATTGATTACACTCATAATTTAAATCGAAATAAAACCATTACAATGCGCCTGATAAACTGAAACGGCTATTTAATTATCAATACTAAAAACCTAAAAAAAAACTGTAAATAGGTAAAAATGATGGTGTTTATACAAAGTTAATATTGATTATATCATATTAGGCATATATTTAAACGACAGATATAAATTTCTTTTTTATTAAATATTTCTGGTTTTTTCCAAATTATATTATGTATTATTATCATGACTAATGTAATGATAATATTTTCAGTAATTTGTTGAATACAATTTTTAGTATTCTCAGATAATAAAAATTAAAATAAATTATAATATTAACTCAATTCTCATCAAATATTTTTTATTTGGCGTAAAGTTCTAGTATAACACATAGGTATACGGTAGACCTATATATTATTATATAATATGAAACTATGGTAGATAACAGAGAAATTAATTTTGTCTAACGGTTTCTTGTTGAACATTGATACAATTCTTATAAGAAAGCACAAAATAAAAATACCCAATTATATTCAATAAAACACAAATATTTTGATTATGAGGATGGATTTCGAGTCATTAAACATAATCTTTATAATTAATGCATTCAATATTATTATGAGAAGATAAGTTATTTCTGATATGTTTTAAAGTTAAAAAAAATTGGAATTTATAGTTAAATTATGAAAGATCTTTAGACTTTTGGGTTTTAAAATATTTGCCTATAGGTATACTTCAATAATATTTTTATATTTTTTGGAATAATAAATAAATATATTTTTAAATGTATTTATTTAATTTTTAGATTTTTGGTTTATAATAAAAGCCCATTGAAGACAGTTAAAATGACCGTGAAATATTATATATTTACTTTAATATTGTTTACGTTATCAAATCCTGACACGAAAAATACATTTTTTAGTGTCGTTTTTGTTTTAGATCCTTATTTTCTAACACGACATGACATCTTGACGTTATTGTGCGCTGTTTGAACCTAACGCAATATTTTAAAGGGAGAAAAGGGTTTCGACAATTTAAAATCGTATAAACCTTTTTATAAATACACAGTATGTATACAACACCATCTGTAGTATCAGAAGATTGATGCAAACATGAAATATTGTATTAGTACAAAATATGTGTGTTTACCTTGGACAATGAAGAAGTGATGTGCGGCGGGGTGGGTGCTGGCGTGGGTTGTTGGCTCCCTCGACCACTGCTGGGCGACGGCGGTGGCGCCGAGTCGGGCGATGAGTCCTCCGAGAAAAGGGTCTCGTTGCCGCTATCCATGTTCAATACTCATAACCTGCAGCGGTTCTGGAATGTAACAAAAACAGAATTTTTATTTTTAATTCGTTTCAAGTTAAATAGGTTTGTGTAGGTTAGGTATATATAATGTGATCCTCTACTAGGTACAATATAAAAATTATATATGCTGCAGCGTGCTAACGTTTTTTTTTTTTTTTTTGTATAAAATTATTGTATGTGAGCTTGATATATTATAATATGTATGTTTAATATATATATTATGATAATTATTATAGAATTTTACCTATATCATATAGAAACGATGTAGATAGGTATTTACGACACGTCGTGTTGGCTACAGTGGCTAAGAAATAATAAAAAAAAAAAAAAACCGGCAGCGTAAAACGACTAAATGCGTACAATAATTGATGGGTACATGTGGAAAATTTGAATATTTTTGTCTATGGAGAATTCACGTTTGCTTTAAAACGCTATTATGCCGCCTATCTTCCGATTGCCTGCCGCCGCGCTGCTGTGAAGCACTTTCGACTAAAAGTGTGTTATTGTCCATCGCCGCAAGAATTCCTTGTATTCATAAGAAATACCATATATTGTATTATAGTTGATAATATAGTAGTTAAGTAGATATGGTACCATAGTTAATAAGTGGAATGTCGTATGATAAATATAACCGATGGAATGATATGTATTATTTGTAATAATATTTAGTATTATACTCCTCTAATTCGGACATATTTAATGTATAAATAGAAATAGTACAAAGACTAATTCGTCTAGTAATATAATCAAAAACCTTTGAGTAATCAATATAAATTCTTTTTTTCCGTTCTTATTGCTTTATTTTTAAATAATTGTTGAGATATAATAATTTATCGTTAAAATATCATTACTTAAATGAGAAAATAAGTATAAATTATAACTATAGAATTAGGTACATTATTTAACGATAGTAATTATTAAGATATAAATTTTTTTTTTGCAATACACAACCTTTACTCACGGGGTACAATAAGTATTATGTGGAATATTTGGTTAGATTTATAAGTTAAAAATTATTAATTCATAGTTTTAAAATCGATAATTTTGTAAATATAAATTAGTAGGTATAACTTATATTATAAAATTTCCATTTAAATTCTCCTTTGTTCTTATTATTTAGTATATGAACTATTGCACACAGATTGCATCATGAACCGTTAAAGAAAACGTAATTCTATTATTATTAAAAATTCTAGATGCAATCGAAATAAATTAATACTATTAAACGCGAGAGTTATCGCTAATTGAAACAAATGTAGATACTCCAGTTACTATCTAAATATTCTAAATGATGTGTCATCCATGTCAATTTTAATATTTGTTGACAAATAATAGTAGTTTAAAATAATTGCGAGATACTTATATTACTGCTTATTACTCATTTATTATTAGTTATAAGTCAGTGGATGTAATAATTGGAGTACATCATTTAAATAAATATGTTCATTTCAAAATTAAATCTAGATAATAAAAAAAAGTTCTAATTTAAAAAAAAAATGTATTTATATCTGTGTTTATTTTAATTTTTGAGTAAAAATGAAATTGTACGGGTATTTTTACAATATAAATTTTAAAATTATATTTTTTTTGGCCATCAAGGTTAGGATAGGTTAGATTAGACATCATTAATCCAGGTTGTAAAATATGATTTTGGGTATTTTAAAATCGTTCGATCTGGAAAATTTGTGTTTTTACAAGTATAATTTAATTTGTAATACATCTAAAATTCAATACTTTTTACTGCACATACAAATATTTTCGAGTAAAATTGTCTTAAATTGTATGTAAAATCTGAGACGATAATTATTAATAAACATCTTATGCGTTATTTGTTACTCTATCTATCAAACAGATGAAATCACACATTCACGTACATTTCACACTCAATCGGCGTGGAAATAAAATAAGTATAGAGAAACATGTGACACACGTTACTCGTTTGCACGCGCAGACCGTGCAACATGACTACATGAGTATATATTTTTATGTAAACATTAAATTATTAAATACATTAATTATATTAAACCGCTACAGTGATAAAAGACAGTAGGTACTGCAGTGTACAAGTAATATGTATCATATATTCATATATATATAATAATAATAATAATAAAAAGATCAGTGGTTACAATATATAAGGTAGGTGCTCACACACACGTTGAGATAGATATTATGTGGATCGATTGGAACGCGTTTTCCCCGAGGCTGATAAAGTGAGAGGAGATATTATATTATGATTAATTTGATTCTGCGCCATTGTACGTATATGGTGAGCGCGCAGTTGACGGACGTATATGTATAATATCGCGCTGGAACCGTTAGAATTATTAAATTTGTTTTTGAATCTATCGTTCAACGTGTTAAAACGGACGTAGTTTCGTTTAAGGTATATATAATAATAATAACAACAACTTGTAATAATAAAAAAAAAAAAAAAAAAAAAACACACTCACGCGCTCACACCCGATACACTGCACCGTGCGTTGTTTTTGTGTGCGTATTTTTTTGCCAAGAAAGCGAACCGACAACGTTGTTTTATATGTCCATATAGACTGTAATATAAAATAAATATAATATACCACAGTACCACACGCGCGGAAACCACGTATAGTAATAATAATATGGGTACGACCGTATAGGCTATACATATAATATACTGAAACTACGTATTGTATGCGTATATTACGCTCGCAGCGGTTTAAACGTCTATATTATATTACGTATAATAATAATTTAAATGGTTAGGTAGGCGAAAAGATTTCTACGACGTCAATAATCGTTTTTTTTATTTATTCATTTTTTTCCGTCCCATTATTACAACTGGGCACGTAGAAATGACGTTTTCATTAGCGACAACTATAGGTATATTAATAGATTATATATATATATATAGGTATGGTGTAACTATTTTTCGTTCAAAAAAACAGTTTTTTTTTCTATAATAGCTGGATGAACGCGTGTGCGGTCCACGTATGATTTTAATGTATACTGTGAAATCATAAAATACACTTTTACTCGCACGTATTTTATTTTACAATCATCATTTTTCCACAATAAGTCATCTATATAATATTATATAATGTATGTTTATGTATTCATCATCAGTAGACATGTTAATATCTACCTTCCATCATCATTGCGGAGCCATGCAAATAATATATAATACAAAACGATTATAAGTGTACCAACTACCAATATATATATAATATATATTATTTATTTATTTTTAATATGATACAGACCATTGAGACCTCTTAAAAGATCTTTCACCAAACTTTCCCATCTATCTCGATCAATCGTAAACTCGTGGATATCTTTCCTTAGATATCTTTCCTCGCCCAGTTTAATCAACGGTAACGAAATTAGTAATAAGATTAACAGTATAAAAATTATGCTTTTAAATTTTCATATTTTCAAAATTTACCACCTCTTATAAACACTGAAAAGTATTGAGTAGGTAACTACTACATAGGTGTATAATTTATTATACATCTCATTATCTATATCATATTTTATGATTTAAAGTATATTAAGTATTTAAATTGAGTATTAGGTTTTAAGCGTAGTAATATCATACATGTAATGATACATACCATTACAATAATATCGTATACGAGAAAAAGTATAATAAATGGGTAGGTAGGTATACACTTATTTTATTTACGCGTTTAATTTTTTAAGAGAGTACAATAATGATTACGTTGTCGAAAATAGTCGTCATCAACTTGTTATTTGAACACAACAATTGTATTAAAAAATAATGCTTTTAGGATTTTAGATCGTAAAACACATATTAAAGGATATGAGAGTTGTGCAGCTCGTATTTGGGTGTAGGACTGTAGGTGCATTACTGTCACGTTAATGTTAGAAAATGCGTTAGTCTTGCCACATATGTTATGAATATATACTATAATGACGAGTTCGGTAAACATGTGGTTATACAGTATACATAGTGTGTAGCCGTGTAGGTACCAAATTATTTTAAAATTTGAAGGAGGCAAGTTTTTAGACCAAAATTAGACTACAAGAGTTTCAACACTTAAACTTCTATATCAATTAGTAAGTGTGTACATAATATATTATACGCACATAAATAAACGTATAAGAATAAACGACGCTTCTGTAATACATCCCTGGCTATAGAAGTATATAGAGTGTAGGTACTCGGTTTTAACGACTTTTAAGACACTAATAGACGGCGCGTTTGTACACATATGATACGTATAACCGGTCTTTCGAGTGGGTATAACCTCTACGCTAATTTCACGGCTAATTTGATGTGACGTCATTTAAATCTTCTTTTATCGGAACGTTAAAGTCTCCGCTATCATCTATATGAGTATATGATGCGCGGTTACCAGTGTCAAGGTTGCCAAAATACTCGTTCATAAGATTTACCATCATACGCATGCGATTATACAATTAAAGTGAGCAGTTAGCAACCTATTACCTACTTATCGAATATTTACTATTTCAGACTTGGAATAGAAAACTGATAGGGAGGAGAAAAACAAAAGCCAAGAAATGTTAGGTGTATAATGAATATATACAATAAACACTACATCTACGTATAATGATTCATCATAATTTTTAGTATAGGTGCCTTTAACACGCAAACCCATGTTTTATATTTATCTATTAAAATCAATTAAAAACAATCATCATAATCGTAAAATTACGACGAGGAAATACACGAATTTACTAGTAAAGCGTGCATAACTTAATCCGGATTAAAAAAATAATCATAGGTGATAAGTGTTAACGAATAACGATATTATTAATACTTATTATAGGTATACATAATTCTTTCGTACATAAATTTCCCGTTTTTCATCAACCGGTCATCTTGGCATAATATGTATTATGTATAATGTCGTAAAACTTAAACGTTCGACGACTCCTCTGGTACGCACACGTAGACGACGATTTACCGTTCAACTCGGATAACAAATATAATAATCGACCGAGTCGTCGTCATCGTATGCAATCTAAACGTAGGTATGTTATGT